CATAATTCTGCTACTGTACCTACTGTAACTATTACTTAAAAAAAACAACCAGAAATGTGTCAAAATACTGGTTGATAATTATCTAAGGTTTAATTTACTGACTCTGAAAGACTGGAAAATGCCGGACATTTAACCAGAGTAAGAAACTCAGGATTGAATGAATCAAGTTTTTTTGACAGATCTAGACTTAGTGAGGCATGTACAGCACAGTATATACATGACACTTGCCTGCATTTGAAGCACAGTATATACATGACATTTGCCTGCATGTATAGTGCAGTATATACATGACATTTGCCTGCATGTACAGCACAGTATATGCATGACACATGCCTCCATTTGCAGCACAGTATATACATGACACTTGCCTGCATGTGCAGTGCAGTATATACATGACATTTGCCTGCATGTACAGCACAGTATATACATGACACTTGCCTGCATTTGCAGCAAAGTATATACATGACATTTGCCTGCATGTACAGTGCAGTATATACATGACATTTACCTGCATGTACAACACAGTATATGCATGACACTTACATGCATGTGCAGTACAGTATATACATGACATTTGCCTACATGTGCAGCACAATATAAGCATCACACTAACCTGCATGTGCGGAAAATTATTTTCTAATATGCAATTGATGTGTGCACTCCAGAAAAAGAACGGTCTTTAACTTGATCATAATTATAACAGTCTCTGGTCATGCAAAACTCTCTTCTGCAAATTCATCGGGTCATTTGAGAAGATGGTAGGAAAATCTCATACCCAGTTCTTTTTCCAATTTTACTAATACTGAAGTTATAGATGTTATCACAAACGAATCGTGCCGCATATTCCATGACAGTATCAGCCCTTTTAGCTCAACATACCTACGGTCAGTATCTGGCCAACTTACCCATGAAAAGTTTCAGTCTTATTAGGCTAACATACTTACGATCAAAATCAACCAAATCAGGCCAACGTATTTATGGTCAGTCACAGCACAATCAGACCAACTTCCTTTTGGTCTCTCTCAGCCCTATCATGCTCACTTCCATCGCAACCATGGAGTGTGACGATTGTCAGTCTGAGATGCCAAAACTAAATTTGTCATATTTTCATTAACTGTGGGAATCATTCATTGCAGTAAAATCTTTCTTAAAATACAGGCTATTCATGTTTGAAATGAAAATAATACTGTTTTAATTGTAATAGAGTTTAAAAATAAAAACATACAATATTACAAATAGTTTTAAACATATAATTTACATTAACCAATACTATTTTATCCATAGATCGTGAAGCAGAATGGCTTACCATCATTTTCAAGGCCAATGCAATATCCCTGACCAAGTGTGTATACATGCAGAGACTCAGAAAAAGTGTCAGTGCTACGTTCCATACTTTTTGTGTCACGTACCCAGCCAGCTGTTAGGATTGCTAACAGGACACTAAAATGTCCCATAGTAAAAGAATAGAACCTTATAACAAACAACGCACTTTAATCTCAATAAGCATAAATGTTGTCCCTGTAAATAGAAAAAGGCATCTCCATTGAAAAGTGGTTTTTAATTTGTCATCATAAAGACTATAGCCTATGTCTTTGGGGCGCCATATCCAAATGTGGTAGAACCAACTAAATCCTGGTGGATCTCCCCGGGTACATTGGACATGTGATAATGAGGCCTGGGTACCAACACTTGACTTCTGGGGAGCATCCATCGAATTCAGAACGTTTGCTTTATTTCAAATACCAAGAAAGACCTTAAAGAGATAATACTTTCCTTTCGCTCATGGATCACTAAGATGAAAATAAATTAAGTCCAAATTTGTTAGGTACGAAGATTTCAAAATCATATTAAGAGACGAATATTAAACTTTATATAGCGACAATCAACAATATATTACAGTGACTATTCCTTCCTAAAAACAGATTAGGTTTCCAGAAATATCTATATCAGAGTGTGTACAGTCATTAATTGGCTAAGTAACTAATGAGAAACACCAGCTATCATGCAAGTAAAGGGAACTTGGAGAGTTTGAGGTTTGATAATTTATGAAAAAATTGATACATGACAGGATGTCGAGAGATTGAATGGATGTTAAGAGGTTCGGTATATGTCGAGAGTACGTGGTGTGTGTGTGTGTGTGTGTGTGTGTGTGTCTATCTATCTATCTATCTATCTATCTATCTATCTATCTATCTATCTATCTATCTATCTATCTATCTATCTATCTATCTATCTATCTATCTATCTCTCTCTCTCTCTCTCTCTCTCTCTCTCTCTCTCTCTCTCTCTCTCTCTCTCTCTCTCTCTCTCTCTCTATATATATATATATATATATACATACATATATATATATATATATATATATATATATATATATATATATATATATATATATATATATACATGTATATATATATATATATATATATATATATATATATATATATATATATATATATATATATATATATATATATATATGTATATGTATATATATATATATGTATATATATATGTGTATTTATCTATGTATGTATATATATATTTATATATATATATATCTATATATATATATATGTATATATATATGTATGTATATATATATATATATATATATATAATGCTATCAGCTTATGTTGCAATGTCATCTTTTGTCAATCAATGTCACAATTAAATGAAAATATGCAATACAAAAGAAATTTACTTTTATGTTAGACTACGCTTCATTTGGTTGTTTACCTACATCCAAGTTATTTATACCAAGGGTAAATACATTTTGTATCATTTTTACATATATTTCGTTCTATATTTCTGGTTCTGTGACAGAAATGACTAAGTAGACATTTGGAAGTGACTATATAAGTTGTAAAATTTAAATGTAGTTCTTTTAAAATATAAAAGTTTCAGTTTTTATTTTTATAATGAAATATGCACAAAATTCTATGAATTTTTTATGTTGATGGCTACAGAAGTCCAATAAAAATATGAAATTCAAATGTTATGTATATCTTTCTGCCCTTTCTTGAACTGATGACTCAGGACAGAAGTACAATCTATATTCTCCACCTAATACTGAACTGACCATTATGTGCAGAAAAAGAAAATTAAACATACGAATAATCAAACATATATTCTTACAATTAAATTCTTCAATGTGTGCGTGTGTGTGTGTCTGTGTGTGTGTGTGTGTGTTCGGTTTAGTGGGTTGGGGATGGCTGAACTGTAAACACTGTAACGTACTATATGACACAGATTTCACTAATCAGGGCTTAATTACTCACAGTGCACTGTCAACAAAAATAAACCAGGATAATCGCAAAATCATTCTCATATTTTGCTCTAACTAAATGAAAATGCTTATAACGAAGCCAAGGATCACCACCAATAAAAGAGATGAAAAATATTTTATTTTTTTTTATAAAAACAGGATGAGATTAGATTGGTGTGTAGTAAGCCGGAAGTAGTAATAGTGATATATCCAGCAGGCACATAGTAGGTGTAAAATATGCTTTTTGAGGTTAATTTAGATGCAAAAGATTAAACAGTAAGTGTTGGCGTTTAGAAGTTTAAATGTATCTTTTAATTGAAGTTTATATTCAATAGGCAAGGCTAAAGTTATCACTTGTGTGGTGGTGATTTTGTAGTTGTCCTTTTGAAGTAAAATACCGAGAGGATCGGTACTTCATAATAGCTTTGTACAGTATGTTTTAGTGAGTAATCACTTACCAATAAAGAGCCAGTCCCTCTCTTTCCCTCAACTATGAGTGCAAAGAGAAGTTATTCTGCAGGATTTTTTTAAAACTGTACCATAAAGTCAAAATAAATTTGCTTGGAGCTATTCGTGTTTGTAAAGAGACGTTTTTATATTTATACAACTAGTACATGTTTCCTTTATGCAGATGTAACTTTTTCCATATGTACTGACCATAAATAAGTTTTATACAAATTATTTTGCATTTTTTTATTTATTCCACTCGACGTTATTACCTGTGACACGTATTGATCATAGAATCATTAAAACTGTTGTATCGCTTCATTTCTTTTATTGACAAAAAAATCGATTCAGTCATTTATTTACTAGATATTAGAATTTATATTAGTCTCAACAAGCAAATATAATACATGATTCCAAACTGGTATTAGTTATGTTCAATCATTTATAAATTCCTTATAAAATCTTACCAGCTTATCAATACAATTCCCGAAGCATTTTTGATGAATAATGACCCTAATTTCGGACTAAGTAAGGGCAGATAATTTCTAAAGAACAATGAAAACGTAATAATGTGGATTGCGAAATTATTAGTAATATAATACTGTAAATAACAGTTTCATGACGCATTCATTATTGCGAGCAAATTCAACTAAATGAAACAGTCCGCATCATTAAATTTCACTAGTATTAAAAGAAAACAGATTCTGCGCCGTGTTCGGAACCATTATTAGACCCTAACGCATATTTGCTGCAGAGATGAAACTAGTAGAAATTGGCTACTTCCTCCAATGGTTCATTTTTCCAGGGTTTGTGACCGTAATGGTGAAAAAAAAAGTCAATTCGCCATATTGGATTCATGCGATGGTCGTCCGAGAGTGATGCGAATGTACATTACTGGTTTTTTGTTGTTTTTTTTTTTTTTGAATGGATTTGTGTAGTTTTTCAGTCGTCGTGCGATTCTGAAGGGATAAAAGACGAATGAGAAAATTCAAATCGAGCGAAGGATTGTGATCACTGTTGCATTCTTTGTGTTATTGTATAATACCGTTAACGTGATTTCATGTTGTCAGAAATTTTTCGTGCATTATTGACAAAACTGTAGACTCCTGTGGTTACATGAATTAGTGACAAATTCGTGTCCGCGTGCAGAATATAATGTAATCACCGTATCACTTCTCCATTGTGTGATAATTGAACTCACACATGAACACTTTCTAGAAGTCCAGCGCAGACGTGCTATGTCAAATAAGATTCGTCAGCTTTATTTATGGTTGTGTTTACCGTCGACTGCAACCGCTCCGCTGGCCTAATGGCTAGAGTGTCCGCCTCAGATGCGAGAGGTCGTGGGTTCAAACCTCGTCCGAGTCATACCAAAGACTTTAAGAAATGGTACTAACAGCTGCCTCGCTTAGCGCTCAGCATTAAGAGGTTAGTGTTAGGGCTGGTTAGCATGGTGTCAGAATAACGTGACTGGGTGGGACATCATGCCACATGTCTGCGGCATGATGCCCTAGTGCTACACATCACTATAAACTGTCACACTGCAGACATCGTAGCGATATGACCTAAAAATTTTAATGCTACCTTAAAAATCTCAATCACACACGCATACGCATACACACACATACACACACAGACACACACACACACACACACACACACACACAAACACACCATCGACGGCTATGATGCCACCATGGAATATTATGAGTCCTAACGCGGGAACAACAGCAAGCATACGAAATTTATCTTGTTTGCTGCTCTCTTAATCGAATAACCATTTTCAGTCGCTATTGTCATACAACTTAAGTCAGAGGCATATATATGCAGGTGTCTGGTGCAGCTGCAATTTGTTTTATTGAACGTTATTTTGTATACCGATCAGTATTAGACTGGTTTAGAAAGAAAAAGAAGTAACAAGAAAAGACCTTTCTAACGTCCTTGAAATCTACATAAATCAGGTCATAAAAGATGCTCTTAACGTCTTGAAATCTGATTTCTCTACATCTTTTAAATTTATCAATAATTCTTATGCAGATGAACTTTTCTTTTAATTTACGGTTGGGTGAATATATATGTATCAAAATAACTCTCTGGTGCAATAATGAGAAAATAAACGATAATTACCCACCCACCTCCATGTGTATTTGTAAGCTGTTTCGATTGTTTATGTGTGTGTGTGTGTGTGTGTGTGTGTGTGTGTGTGTGTGTGTGTGTGTGTCGCAACGTAGCACCGTTCAATGTTCTGTGACAGGCCTGACACTGGTTTATTGTTTGAATGTTAGTAGCTAAAAAAAAATTCTCTGTTTTAAAGTAAAATAACATCATTATGTTATTTGAAATTGTTTTAACATATCTTGCGATAAAGTGAAAGAAAGTGTTTCACTTCGAATGAAAATAACGGCCCTCATCCACTCCACCGAACGCACAGAAGAGAAACTTGCCATCTGTATGTTAATTGCTGTATAATCTGTAATCTAAAAAATGGGACTGATTACGTTTTAGCTATAGCTGATAATGTGAAAAACTTCTAGCTGACATTAGATAGCCTACAGTTAAAAATAGGCAGTGTTGAAACTGACACCTACAATGTATTAGCTACATTACTGATATAATAGGCAGAGAAACTTTGAGTAGAATGCCAACACCGGGGCAGGATATTAACCAGAGAAGGCCAGTAAACATAAAACACAATTACTCCAAAAGAAAAACGACAAAATGTTAAGTTTATTTAATAAATTATTCTCAGCCTTCTGTTTGACAAGTGAAGTCCATTTTTTTCTGAATTAAATCTGAAAATGGCCCGGACAAGGCAGACAGTGAAGATGGATTACAAACCACAACGAAAGGGGTGTTGTGGAATCATGGACTAAAAGCTATAAATATTAAAATACAAATAATATAGAAAATTTCTACAAAATGGACAGTGAGAACAGTAAAAACAATTTACGAGAGGCACGAACTTCATGAGAAAAAATGGCGAGCCACAGGGCTGGAAAAGTAGTAAAGGATTTAGAGAAATACTTCAAAACTCGGCGAATAGAGACAGAAGCATGATCTTTCTTGGAATGTGGATATAAAGAAGGAACACAAGATATAGACACATCAAAAAATGTATGGGGAAAAAAGTACCTGGTTTATGTTCGGTAATGATTACAATAAAAGTTAAAGATCCGGAATACATACCAAAAATTTACTCCATCAACCCAAACGACTAAAACGTTTATATACTAAAACCCCAGAGGGAACCAACTATTTTTACCATCTGGAGAAATGACAATACAAGGGGAGACTGTTACAGCAAGAAAACCAGCAACTATTATGAAGAAAATACAAAAGTCGACTGAACTACACCTATCAGACATCCATTGGAAATACCACTTCAATCTAGCGTTGAGAAATGTAAAGTAAAACCGAAGATAAAGGTGATGTCATCAAGAATAGATACAATTCCTTTAGCAAAATTCTTCAACGGAATAAGAAAACTAGAAATTGAAAAGACCAAATTGACCGATGTAAAAAGAGATTTCTTTTACATGGCTTCATTACAAACAGCTAATCCTGCTTTCTGCTGCATCAATAACAACAGAACTAGAAATGGACACAGAAAGGAGCAAAAGGAGGGAGAACAAGATGAAAAAGAATAAACATGAAGAATAAGAAGAAACCAAAATTATGGAAACATATTTCTTTGAATTGCAAGTAGACGAATGTCTCAAAGATTTTGAACTCAATATATATATATATATATATATATATATATATATATATATATATATATATATATATATATATATATATATATATATATATATATATATATATATATAAGATGCGAAAACATTGCATTAAAAGGAAACGATGGTGGCTGAGTTTCTTTTTAATGAAAAATGTATACGAGAGATATATCATTGAATCAGCGTACATATATTTTATTTATATCACATACAACTACATATATTTGTCCTTTGAACGGAGTTCAGATTTACTACAGAGAGCTATGTATTGACTGAGTGAATGAACTCCTCAAATGCAAGAGTGTTTGCTACAAAATGTAGTTCCATGCCTTTTGTGGCTATTCACAATCACCTTTGCATATTTAGTTTCTATTTTTCTTTACATTGATTAAATCAATATAATGCATACTTATGTCCTAAATATGATAGATGGTTTTAATGATCAAAGTAGAGCACTACAAAAAATACATGGTTACACCATTCACGTACCGGAACATGGAAACTAATGTGGAATATAAGCTAAGCGAAATAGTGAACTAACATATGGCAATTAAAATATTTTAATCTATTTACAGTTAATATAAGACATTATTCTACTCTAGTAACAGTACCACCCGCAATAAACTCTCTCTCTCTCTCTCTCTCTCTCTCTCTCTCTCTCTCTCTCTCTCTCTCTCTCTCTCTCTCTCTCTCTCTCTCTCTCTCTCTCTCTCTCTCTCTCTCTCTCTCTCTCAACACACTCACATCCTTTAGTTGGTTTGACTTGACTTTTACTGTCATTGATAAGTCCAGAGATATCATGGGATGACACAAACGAAAATTCTCTACGTTAGTCATTTCAGAAAAGAGAGAGAGAGAGAGAGAGAGAGAGAGAGAGAGAGAGAGAGAGAGAGAGAGAGAGAGAGAGAGAGAGAGAGAGAGAGAGAGTTTAAGAAACAACAACAAACATAACATTAAATACATCACAGTATGTTTACCACGTAACCGAGGAGTTTACTGTATAATGGCGACTTGATTTGCAGCTTTGTATCATTAATAAACAATGTAGATAAATCCCAAGGAAATTGCTCAAGTATCGTTGCGACGAACCATACTCTTATAGGCTACTTGGAGTAATCTTTTTTATTTCAAGGTTTCAATCCAGCCCAAATTCCTTTTCTCTCTCACTCCACATTTCTGAAGTTGTATGTATACCATATTAGATTCGTTTAGTAAAAGATTATTAATACTTGTGTCGTTATTTTCATACGTTACAAATGATTAATATGTGGAAATTCATCACTATCTAGCATAATCATCTGCAGACGGTCGCTGGAATGATTATATATGAGTCAATATTGTTTGGTATAACAAATTTTTTTATACCAACAATATATATATATATATATATATATATATATATATATATATATATATATATATATATATATATATATATATATACAGTTACGACCATGTAGGTAAATTACATGTGTTCAAATTTATTTTTTTTCTAATCCTTTCTATTTTATATTTTTGTTCATTTTTATATCATTAAATGTATTTATTATTATGATGATGATTATGTTTATGATTATGATATAATATAATAATGTTATATGTTATATAATAATGTTATACAATATTTTTGCATGACGGTTTTGTCTTATTTAGTAAACATTAGGAAATAGCTATGTAAATGATACTTGTTGACATTCTACACTGCGATGTGACTAGATTTCGAAATCTTCATGATTTCTCCACGCGTGACGTGTTAGTTTGCTTTAAATACTCAGATACCTGCGAATTAGTCAGATATAGTCATGAGTCATATTTTAACGTCTTAGTGAGTCACATCATAACATCTTGTAGAGTTTATAATACCTTAAGAAGGTATTCCTGTGCTGGAAAGAGTTGTTCATTTGTACGTATGAAGAACAACATGAGTTTTATTATTGATGATAGCTGAACTTCATCTACCTTTTAAAGAATAATTATTCCCCTGGAGAACAACACAACTGGCTTTGGACAAAGACGTTTGCTGAAACTATTACTAAAGTGGAACAGAACAATGCAAATTGTGATCCACAGTAAAAATTCTGGACAGTTGGTTAACCTTCGTCATTATTCGGCATCTTGGAATAGAATTGAGATTCAGACTACGTCAATATAGAACTGTTTTGTCACAGGACTTATGTGTTTTCACAGTTTTAAGACAAATTTTTTAATCTTCTTCTTAAATCGTAAGTCTTGTTTCATATTTTGTTTTTCTTTTCACCGTGTTTTCTAGAGAAATAAATTATTTTTGTTAAAATTTGCAAAGCTTGTTGCAGTCACTTTTTCCAAACATTAACAGAAATAAAAATTATTATAATAAACAAGATATAATATAGCACGAACAGTACATGTAGAGCAAGAGGGCCTCTCTAAATGGTCTGAAAAGATTAGCATGGGAAATACCCTCCAAAAACTTTAAAGAAAAGAGAAATTATGTAAAGTTCAGACAAACAGCAACCGTGCTCCTAAAGATTGCCGGATGATTAACAATCTTACATTGTAATGCATGTAGGTAATACATTTCCATATGCTTGTGAACAGCTAAAACATGACATTGGTTTCTGTTGCTATTTTTAATCAAATGTTTCAAAAACT